TGTCCTATTTCAGATCCTAAGCCAAAGCATTGTTGATGGACATCCATACTTTCTTTGTAAAGACTGGAGAGAGAATTAGCAGCATCCTGGAATGGGATCCACAGACACATCCCTTGTTGTCTATAAAGTCCCTGTTCATAAAGTTTCCCCGCTGCTGTGGCTAACCTCTTTAGGTGGGGCCAGAGTTTTTGCTTACTCTGCTCAGCCTTCCATTCTGGTTTCTCCTCTTTCTGTTGTGCCTTCCTCAAACAACGCTCCTCCCATTTAGTGAAATACGGCGTGGGTCTTTGCTTCCAGATCTCACCTTTCCTATTCTTCCTTTTATTGTTCATTATTTATAAGCAGACTGTCAATAAATGTGAGGGATTTTTTGTTTCAGCTTCTTTAACATAAATATGCTTACTATTGAAGCTGTCACTAAATACAATGTGTGCTTCTCAGGTAATAATGGCAGTTGACCTAAACATTCTATATGTCATGGAAACGGATTTAGAATTCTGTCAAACCAAATGAACAGTTTCTGTAATAGAAACACGTACCCCAGAGTGTCTCCACATCTCATTGTGGACTTTCACTAAATAAAAAGGAGTTTTACCTTAAGCTTTGACTTTGATATACTTAGAATATCTAATTATTGATATGTCTTCTATCCAGTTATGTTTTTGTTAATTTTGTTTTTAAACAATTTCCTTTCATGGTGAGCCAAGGATCAGGGTCAGCTGGGTGATAAAAACTTTTGGGTGTCAGTCTTGGATGTGGTTAAATTATCCCTTCCCCTTTACACATCCCATTTATATTCTTGCTTGTTCGTGTACCATACGTCCCACTATGTTAAGCCAGGTGATGTATTTATTAAAATTTTTGCTACCCTAGGCTAGGGCCTGTGTAAGGATATTTGGCAACACATTCAAAGATGCATTTTATGACCCCAATGGAACAAAGAATGAATATACAATGTTTACACACAAAAATGGATCTTGGCCAATACCTGTTGTATTATCAATACCAATAAAGACAGAAGCAATGCTGATAAGATCTTATAATGCCACCTACAAATAATGAGGCTGGGTTGTTGGCAACAAATACTAATATATTTAAAACCAACGTCCCCCCATAAATTACCCCTGGCAATGAACCCAGCAATAATAACAATATATAACAATATAAATACCAGATAACATTACATGGCCGTGCAAACGGCCCCATTTCCAACTGATTAAACTGTAGGGATGTACCGAGACACCCCTAAGCTCTCATGTTCAGAGCAATAAAATGGGCAGTATATATCCATAGAAAAACTGCAAATACTGAGATATTTTTATTTGTGATGGAGGCTAGTTGCACACGTGACTTAGGCAGCCCATAACTCTGTTCCAGGCTTCCTAATGTCAAATCTGTGCATATTTTCTGTCTGCCAGCAGCACGCACAGCACGTTGGAAACAAGCATAACAATCTTCACACTCTCCTCCCTGTCGGTGATCCCTTCTGTCTGCCTGCACTCTAAAACTGGGAGAAGTCCTCTTTTCTTCCATTTCCCACTCATTTCCCTTGCTGGACTGGAGCATGTGCCTTGAACCAGTGAATTGGTCCAATCACAGGTTTCACTATGAGAAATCTGTGATTGGAATGTCTGCGGCACCTGTGATGACCAGAGGGGGGTAGGGGGCGTGGAAGTCAGCACAGGAAACTTTGTCTGTAAAATATATTTCTTTGCAGGTTATACTGCAAATTGGGGGTGGGAACTAATTCATAGTGCCCAATAACACATGAGTGCTGACCCATATCCATGTCCTTGTGGACAAACGCAACGAAGGCCTTGATCGTCTGGCCCTCTGTCCGCTCAGCAATGCCTCATCTGCTTCCCACTGTTTTTTTACGTGCTCCTGCAGCCTGCTGCACACCAGCCAGCACTTGGTCCTGCAAGCCATGGGACTCCTGGTAAGCCTTCATCATCTGCACCAAGTCCTCCAGGGATCGGGTGGCCATGTTGGAACGTCTTGTCTGTAGCCTGACCGCAGGGACTCACTAACTGAAGGTGTAATTCTCTTGTAGGCCCAGGTAACTGCCACCACAGTCCAGCAACTGCAGAAATTCAGTCAGGGTCTTTGAACAACTCCTACTGACAGGTAAGTCCCCTCCCCTAGTCTCATATTTTATCTCCTCCAACATTTGCAACATTGTTGCGCCTTGACTCCAGCCCACCATCCTGGGCAGCTGTCATGCTCCCCTTTCCCTATTTGTCCAGGGGGACACTTTAAACAGAATAGGTCCCCCCTCCAAAGGGTTAGAGTAGCCCTTTTGAAATACAATAAATATGTTTAAAAGTCAGTCTGTGTAAATAAGACAAATTGTTCTTGTAGCATAACTTATTATTAGTTAGTTATTCATTTGTTATTACTGAGTGACCAAGAATTTGTCTGAAAACCCCCACCTCTGGCCACACCCCCACTTACACCCCTAAAATTAATGTTCCCCTTTGCCCTTTAGACATTTTTTTAAAATTTATTTAGTAAACTACAAATTGTGTCATGCTGAAAAACAAATTGCCAATTTATTTCAAACATAACTCATTTGGTAAATCAGGAATTGAGCTATTGTCATAACTTTCAGAACTTAATTTGCTGATGTGTCTGTGTGTGTCTATTTCCCCAATTGTGTTCCAGTCTGCATGCCCCATGTATTTACTGTATATGTAATGTGATACCGTGATTTCCTTTAAAATGTTTGGAAAAAACTTTATGCATGTGCTACCTGGGTGCATCTCTAGGTGGCACCAAACCTGTTCTGACCGACAGTACACCTTATTCAATATAAATTAGAGAGAGGAGACATAATAGGTTTATAATGGATTTTTTTTTTAACTATAGCCAAGCATTTAATAAACAGGTAGATGGGTACACTGATGTAATGTAGAGCCAAAAACTAGGTTTATTTGTACTGTATTGATAATAGATGAATAACATCACAGAGCCCTTATACTTTCCACAGAAAAAAGAAAGGTTGACAAATGCTGGAGCTGACCACAGTAGTTTTTGATATGTCTTGAAATTACCCTCTTTTTTTTATACAATGCATACATAACCCAAGGTGTTAAAGCAAAAATATTTCAGCTATCACAAGTCTAAACATACTGGATTGCATTCGTATCTTCTATCTCTCTCTGAGTAACATTTGATTGACCGATTATGTGTCTTAGAATGCGCTATCAGAAGCCATGGATTGGGATTAATGTCATCAGACTTAATGATGTCAAAAGGGGCGGAGCAGACTGCTGTGAGGGGACTGCTGTTGGCATTGGTAGAAAGGTAAGTAAATGTTTATTTAAATATGCAAAGGGACTGCAAAAATAATATATAATGCAATTGACACAAATAATTATTTAAAAATAAAATAAAGTTTACACAGTACTACTTATACTTAAGAGATTTTGCTGAGTACACTTAATTGTATTACAGTGGCATACATGAGATTTAAAAGGACCACTAAAGTTCTCCTAGTTCATGACAAGTGCATAGTCGTACCCTTAGGCATTAAGAATAAAACCCTCCATAGATACCCAATAATGCACAGACACCAATATGTTGGCATTGTTATGGGTTGAGTGTATATTTCTCCAAAAATATTGGAATATGTAAATTAATAGCCCCAGGAAGAAGGTCTGCCTGTTTTAGTCAGAGCAATTTTGCAATGTAATATTTGTTCCTGGGGTGGAGAATTTGGAGTGAAGGAAGGGCCACAGTTTACATACAGCACAGCAGGTGAGCAATCCAATCTAGGAGTTCTCGATCATCCAGATAGCTGCTCACCTGTTGGCAATGATTAGCACAGGACTGCTATAAAATGTCCCTGGCAGGTATTCACAGGGAGAAGGACAAGCAGTGTGCGAGACTGCATTTCTCCCTACAAGAGTTTGTGTGTTTTGAAGGAGAAAGGAAACATTTATTTGGAAAAAAAAAGGTCTGTGCAAAAATGTGTATTTTGTATGGTTGGAAGCGGGTAAGCCGTCCAACAGCAGTTAGAGGAAAAACTGTGAGTTAGTGCTCAGAAGAGCAAGGCTTTTCTTTTTGTTTGTTTCTTTTTTTTTGTTTAAATTGCCAGACCTCTTAATAAAGATAAAAGACTGCATTTACAAGAAATTTGATTTGTGTGGTGTTCCTATCATTAAAGGACCACTCTAGGCACCCAGACCACTTCAGCTTAATGAAGTGGTCTGGGTGCCAGGTCCTTCTAGGGTTAACCCATTTTTTCATAATTATAGCAGTTTCAGAGAAACTGCTATAATTATGAATGGATTAAGCCTTCCCCCTAATCCTCTAGTGGCTGTCTCATTGACAGCCACTAGAGGCGCTTGCGTGCTTCTCACTGTGATTTTCACAGTGAGAGCACGCCAGCGTCCATAGGAAAGCATTGTAAATGCTTTCCTATGAGACCGGCTGAATGCGCGCGCAGCTCTTGCCGCGCGTGCGCATTCAGCCGGCGGGGCGTAACGGAGGCGGAGAGGAGGAGGAGAGCTCTCCGCCCAGCGCTGGAAAAAGGTAAGTTTAAACCCCTTTCCCCCTTCCAGAGCTGGGCGGGAGGGGGACCCTGAGGGTGGGGGCACCCTCAGGGCACTATAGTGCCAGGAAAACGAGTATGTTTTCCTGGCACTATAGTGGTCCTTTAAGACTGTGTGATTGTATGGTCCCAGGTCACGTATGGTGGAGAATGCGGGCATCACACTGACAGTCTGTAAAAGGAACCAATACCAACAAAATGGAGGATGTTAAGGCTTTACTGCAGGCAGCAGCCACACAGCAACAAGCTACAGCCACCCAGCAAGAAAATATTACAGTCCTGCAGCAACTGGTGTTTGCACACAAAAAGGAGCAGCAAAATGCCACTCGTGTCATGCAGCATGAGATCCAGAAGCTATCTGAGAGGCTGGCCAGGTATACTGTGGGAATGCCACATAGTTCTAAGGCTCTGAGAGTGAGTAATTATTTGCAAAAGATGGTGGACACAGATGATGTGGAAGCTTACCTGATGGCTTTTGAAAGGACAGCTGAAAGAGGAGGTTGGCCTGAGTCTGAATGGGCAAGCCTCCTCGCTCCATTTCTGAGTGGAGAACCCCAAAAGGCATATTATGTTTTGGAGCCTGCACAAGCTTGTGACTACAAGAAACTGAAAGCAGAAATCTTGGCCCGCTTGGGAGTCACAACAGCAGTTCGTGCCCAGAGATTTCACTCCTGGAATTATAGCCAAGACAAAGCTGTGCAGTCACAAATGTCTGACTTGATACATCTTGCCGGGAAATGGTTGCAGCCAGAGGTTAATTCACCCAGTCACATCGTGGAACAGCTTGTAATGCATCAGTTCCTGAGAGGATTGCCTGTTTCCCTACGGCGTTGTGTCAGCCAGAGTGATCCTAAAGCGGCTGAACTAGTTGCTTTAGTGGAACGGTATGTATCTGCAGGAGAGTTTCTGCAACTCTCCAGCCAGGAGAGACCTAGGGCCCCGAAGATCCAGAGTCCCAGTAAATGGGGTAAGACTATTCCAGGGAAAAGGGGGTCTTGGGAGGAGCAGATGTGTTTGTACAATCCAGCAAAGGGCAATAGTTTTGTTAGGCTGGAAGATTCTACACAAAATGATGCCTAATTATAACATTAAGTGTTTTCAATGCAAACAATATGGACATATTGCAAAGGACTGTCCTGAGAATGTTGTTGCAGTGTAATGTTGGTGATAAGAGGGATGATTACTCTCTTCTCTCGCTCAGTATATGTAGTCACCAAAAATGATTGTCTGAAGAGCCATCCCTGGTGTACTGTAAGGGTAGAGGGAAGAGACATAAATGCTTTACTAGACTCTGGGAATATGGTTACGCTTCTAGACCAAGGTCTGTTAAGAAATATTCAAATAAATGACTCCCAGAATCTAGAAATTGCCTGTACACATGGTGACATACATCAGTACCCTACTGCTGAGCTAATTATTGAGATGCAAAGTGGCACTGTAAATCATACAGTTAGTCTGGTAAAGCAATTAGTGCATGAAATGATATTTGTCTGGGATCTTCCCCATTTTTTGCATTTATGGACGGGCACTGAGCCGGATAAATCAGTACCCATAGAGGGTGCTATTAGTGACTTTCCATTTTCCGATTTATTGGGGGATAACGTGGACACAGAAATTGCTGCTAAAAACAAGCATTCAACCCCTATGGAAACCCTATTTGTAAATAACACTGAACAGAGTGATACAGGTCCATCTAATAGCCCTGAACATGTTCTAGAACTTATGGTGCATGTCATCTCATTGGAGAGATATTAGATGAATTTTCAGCAGTCACACTCACAAGAACTCAGGAACTCAATGTCGCTTTAAAACAGGAACACCAGAGTCCAAAGTGGATATTTAAAAGTAAGTATTTATTTAACACTATTATAAAATAGCAAGTTGAAGCGCAAAGCATTTCGACCTAAAAAAGGTCTTCCTCAGGTGGAGATATGTCATAAGATAAACATACATTCTTTTATACATCTTATAACTAATTTTAAAATCATATCACATGTGTAGAAAGGGCTTAACATTCCCTCCCACTTCCAAATATGGTCCGGACCGGATATGGCTTGCCATCCCCAATATTGCAGCATATCCAGTTTCGGACAGAGTTCCTCACCCACCCCAACATGTCCATTCTTTCATTTTCTTTGTTACTTCTATTGATCCGTCACGTCACTTCCAGTATTGCACGTGATCATCACTTCCCATGACCCTTTTCGGAAGCTCGGTCTGTTGTTTCTCCAGACGGAGGGAGGAGATGGCATTTTTGAAAAGGGCATTTTCGCCCATAGTTCATATAAAACCAACTGAAAAATAGTAAGCGAATATATATATATATATATATATATATATGTGTGTGTGTGTATTAGTAAGATACATTAGTAGAAATACTATACTATAAAAAAGATATAGCATATATACACATACTATAGTCACAAACACTGGCCAAAGTTAACGTTAATATTTGTGTGTGAAAAATGCCTAAAACTAATTTAAACGCCAATTTTGGCCAGTGTTTGTGACTAAGTGGTTACTAATAAAGACTGGACATACCCCATTTGCAATACCTTGGGTTGTCTACTTTTGCAAATGGTATGCCATCATGGGGGTAATTTCATTCCTGGGCTACCATACAGTCTCAAAGGCAACATAACCAACCTGGCGAATTTCAATGTGAAAAAAACGAAACGCAAGCCTTATATTTGACTCTGTAACTTTTGAAAACACCATAAAACCTGTACATGAGGAGTACTTTTATACTCGGGAGACTTTGCTGAACACAAATATTAGTGTTTCAAAACAGTAAAACTTATCACAACAATTATATTGTCCGTGTAAGTGTAAAAAATGCAAAAAATTTCATTTTTACTGACAATATCATCGTTTTAATACATTTTACTGTTTTGAAACACTAATATTTGTGTTCAGCGAAGTCTTCCAAGTAAAACAGTACCCTCCATGTATAGGTTTTATGGTGTCTTGTAAAGTTACAGGGTTAAATATAGTGCTAGCAAATTAAATTCCCTGGACTTTTGGCCTGGGTTGTCAGACAGGTCCCGCTAATTGTAATTAATAAAATGACCTAATTATGACATTTTATTACATAAATATATACGTAGATTTATTATATATATATATATATATATATATAATATAATTTTTTAAATTATTTTTTATATATGTGTGCGTGTGTGTGTATATACACACATACATACATATATAGATATATATATATTTTTTAATTTTTTTTAATTAAATTTTTTAACGTATTTGCATTTTTTTTTATTTTATATAAATATATATTTAATGAAAATTATATATTTAATCAATATCATTGTACGTGTATTTTGATATTTATATATATATTAATATTAAAATACACGTAGACTATGTATGTGTATATATATATATATATATATATATATATATATATATATATATATATATATATATATATAAATATATATATATATGATCTATGTATATATTTTATTCTAAACTGTTATTTTATTCTAAACTGTCATTACAGGCACTCCCCCTGCTGGCATTGCAGTGGACGGCTATGCTATGCTGAATGTATGTTTATCTTATGATATATCTTCACCTGAGGAAGACCTTTTATAGGTCGAAACGCGTTGTTCTTCAACTTGCTATTTTATAATTTAGTGTTAAATACTTTTAAATATCCACGTTGGACTCTGGAGTTCCTGTTTTAAAGCGACATTGAGTTCCTGTGAGTGTGACTGCTGCAAATTCATCTAATATCTCTCCAATGAGATGATATGCACCATAAGTCCTGATCCAACTTCTAATAGGCTCTTAAAAGTGTGAGTTTGCTGATTATTTCTACTTATCAATATATGTTAAATACAGGTTACACTCTGTGTATTTATTTTATATTTATTATGACACAGGAAATAGAAACTCTACCATAATATTCACTAAAGAACCCTTGTTCTAAAGGTAAACTACAGATATGTAGCGCTAATCACTTTGTTTGTTTTAAATCACAGTTTTAATTGTTAAGAGTGACATTGCACTTTTTTTTTTTTTTTAGCAGCACTAGCGATTCTTTCTCTTATTTGCGCCACTTTATCTCATTTCTTTTATGTTCTAGAACTGACTGACCTAGAGGTTAACCTGGGTAATTTAAGAGCTGCACAGTGGGAGGATCCCACTTTATCTGAGGCTAGAAACCATATCCTTATGAGGATCACTGTTGATCCCAACAAAACTCCTTCCTATGCATATTGTGAAGTGGAAAATGATTTAATGTACAGAGTTGAAAAAGTAGATGCCATTAAACAACTATTAGTACCTCAGGCATCGCGAGACACAGTATTGCAATCTTGCACATAGCCATATTCTTGGGGAACACCTAGGGGTTGATAAGACAAGAGAGACAATTCTCAGGAGATTTTATTGGCCAGGTGTAATGGTGTCAATTACATGTTATTGTTCATCCTGTCCTGATTGCCAATTAACTGCCCCTCTTACAACATATCTTAGTCCCTTAGTACCTTTGCCCATTATAAAGATTCCATTTGAACGCATTGGTATGGACTTTGTGGGCCCTCTTATAAAATCTGCTAGAGGACACCAGTACATATTCGTAAAAGTAGACTATGCTACTCATTACCCTGAGGCAATACCTATGCATACAACTTCAGCAAAAGCTATTGCTAAGGAACTTATATTGATGTTCAATAGGGTTGGGATTCCCAAGGAAATATTGACAGATCATGGAACTTCATTTATGTCCCGAGTCACAAAAGAATTATACAATTTCCTTCATATAATGCAGCTGTAAACCTCACTATATAACCCACAAACAGATGGTTGGGTGGAGAGATTCAATAAAACCCTAAAGGCTATATACATAGAAACATAGAATGTGACGGCTGATAAGAACCATTCGGCCCATCTAGTCTGCCCAATTTTGTAAATACTTTCATTAGTCCCTAGCCTTATCTTATAGTTAGGATAGCCTTATGCCTATCCCACGCATGCTTAAACTCCTTTACTGTGTTAACCTCTACCACTTCAGCTGGAAGGCTATTCCATGCATCCACTACCCTCTCAGTAAAGTAATACTTCCTGATATGATTTTTAAACCTTTGTCCCTCTAATTTAAGACTATGTCCTCTTGTTGTGGTAGTTTTTTCTTCTTTTAAATATGGTCTCCTCCTTTACTGTGTTGATTCCCTTTATGTATTTAAATATTTCTATCATATCCCCCCGTCTCGTCTTTCCTCCAAGCTATACATATTAAGATCCTTTAACCTTTCCTGATAGGTTTTATCCTGCAATCCATGAACCAGTTTAGTAGCCCTTCTCTGAACTCTCTCTAAAGTATCAATATCCTTCTGAAGATACGGTCTCCAGTACTGCGTACAATACTCCAAGTGAGGTCTCACCAGTGTTCTGTACAATGGCATGAGCACTTCCCTCTTTCTACTGCTAATACCTCTCCCTATACAACCAAGCATTCTGCTAGCATTTCCTGCTGCTCTATTACATTGTCTGCCTACCTTTAAGTCATCAGAAATAATCACCCCTAAATCCCTTTCCTCAGATGTTGAGGTTAGGACTCTATCAAATATTCTATACTCTGCCCTTGGGTTTTTACGTCCAAGATGCATAAAGAGTACCCTGGTGTTGCTATGTACCAGTCATTTTTCTCATTATACCATGTCTCAGTAACAGTGACTAAATCTACATTATCAGTTGCCATTATTGCCACAAGTTCATGGATCTTATTCCCTAAACTGCGAGCATTTGTAGACATGACTCTAAGCTTATCATTTTTTAACACACTTGCTACAAGCACCTTCTGCAATTGGATTGATGTTTTATCACCCTTTCCCCCCCCCCCACCCCTGTAGTTTAAATACATCCTAGCAAAACCTCTGAACTGCTCACTAAGAACATTTGTTCCCTTCTGAGAAAGATGCAAACCATCTTTTTTGTACAGTTTATTTCCATTCCAAACAGAGCTACCATGAGAAATAAAGGCCATTGATTAAGATGGGAAAAACTGGGATTGCGTTATTTACCTTATTTAATGTTTGCAATTAGGGAAGTCCCTCAAGCCTCTACTGGGTTTTCACCTTTTGAACTCTTGTATGGTAGACACTCTAGAGGGTTGGTGGATATAGCTAAAGATACTTGGGAACGTGAGTCTACACCACACAGAAGTGTCATAGAACATGTAACTCAGATGCAGGAAAGAATGGCAGCCATTATGCCCATTGTTAGAGAACACATGGAAAATGCCCAACAACATCAGCAGAATAGCTACGTTTAAACCAGGAGATAGAGTGCTAGTTTTGGTTCCTACGGTTGAGAAGAAATTCCTAGCAACATGGCATGGACCATATGAAGTCATAGAAGGTGTGGGGAAAGTAAATTATAAAGTAAGAATAGTGATCAATATCCCAATGAGTGAAACCAAAACGTCAATAATACTCACAGCACCTTATGTGGGTATTCCCTTTATCCCCGCAAAGACACAAAGATATACATACAATATAAGGTGGAGTATATAAATAGAGATCCTTCCAACTGTAATGTTAAACCGGATAATGATCTTTAACCCTTCACTAAAAATAAGCACAAATAGGGAAAAAGAATAGTGCAATATTGCCAATGTCCAGTTAATAATAATAATAAGTAGGTAATGGTACACTCACAAACATAGAGCCACTGGATAGGCTCAATGATTGAAGCACTGTGGGTACTTTAGGGACCCATTTCCTTCTTTATATGATGTAAGAGATTCCAATGGCAGGAACTTACTCTCAGATGTAAATCAATAAAGTGCTTTATTAAATAAAGTGCACAAAAAAATCCATAAAATAAGTAGAAAAATTAAATAAAAAACCTTACAGTCTAAAGGTAGTCCTTATACTACTTTGCAAAATGCGTTTCGCCTCAAAACGAGGCTTCCTCAGTTGCTGGTTGTAGTTTCTCAATAGTCTGTTTAAATGCCTTCCCTTTTGGCGTTTTTTTCTGCATCCTCGTGGTTCGGAATCTATTTTTACTTCCTCTTCCGGTTTGCGTTCCACTTGTGGAACGCATACATCACTGGATGCGTTCCACGGCGTCATTTTCTTTGCCTTCATTTCCTCTTCCGGTATTCGGCATTTGCGTTCCACTAGAGTAACACAAAAAGACACGTGACGCGCCTCGTACATCGTGGCCGTCACGTGACTTGTGTGCAAAACAAAATACAACACCTCGGTCAGGGAATAATCAGCATAATTAATTCACATGTGCAGCCTCTATATTTTAATTAGTTCCTACATATAATAGCTTGCAATAAAATTTCTGACATTAGTCTCTTCCTCAAAATTTATAGAGGACATATAAAATCAAAGATAAAAAGGAATAAATATGATAAAATATATCTTCCTCTATTTTCCCCACATATATAAGAATATCAAAAAAGTAAATTTTACAAAAGGATATTCCATAAGAACACATCAAATAAATACACAATATTAATGCTAGTTAATAAACTTGTAAAAAAGAAGAAAGTTTGGGAGAAAATCAAAAAAATTAATAAATATAATAAAAATATATAAATTAGGTTGGCCAAAAAATATATATATATATTAAATATACATTAATAACTGCTATTGGTTAAATTTGTAAAATATAAATTTAAAATTTAAAAATTAATAACTATTATTGTATAAATATATATAAAATATATTTAGAATTAAATTATTTAAAAATGACATACTTCAAAGTCTATATTAAGTCCATACGGTGACAACGTTTTAAATTTGTAAATAAAACCCATTTCTTCTTTTCCCAAAGTTTTAATGTAATTTCCCCCTCTCCAATCTCTTTTTACTTCTTTTATAGCACAAAAGAACAAATTTTCAGGGTTTTGGTTGTGTACCTGTTTAAAATGTAATGATACATTGTGAGTCTCTAAACCATTTTGTATATTTCTAATGTGTTCTGCTATTCTCACTTTTAGAGGTCTGATTGTTCTACCAATGTATAGAAGATTACATGGGCACTTCAGTATTTATATTATTCCTTTTGAGTGACAAGTAAGATGATCCCTTATAATATAAGGTTTTTGGATAATCGTTTCTATATCTTGTAAATGTCTTTTTTTATTTTTAGTTATTTTACAAGGAAGACAAGATCCGCAACCATAAAACCCCTTTAATTCTAAAATGTGGTTATTTTGTTTTTTAGGGGATAGGTGACTCAACTAAAATACTTTTAAAATTTCTTGCTCCCCTATATATTATCTTGGGGTATATAGGTAAAATTTGGTTTAAAATTGCATCTTTTCTCAATAAATGCCAATGTTTATTTATTATTTTCCGTATCTGCCTATTTCGGCCATTGTAGTTACAAATGAAGGAAACATCATCATTTTGATCCATTTAAATTTTTTGTTTTTGTTTATATTTCAAAAGTGATTTTCTTGGTAACTGTCTAATTTCCTCCATTTCCTTCTCTAAATTTTGTTCACTATACCCCTTCTCTATAAATTGTTCTTTAATATAATTGGATTGTTGCAAATAGTCCGAATCCCGTGTACAATTCCGTCTCATCCTTAAAAATTGGCTTCGGGGTGCATTATTTAGCCACAGATCATGGTGACAGCTAGTTTTTTCAATATAACTGTTTGCATCCAGGGGTTTAAAATAATTTTTCGTGACCATTTTTGATTCTTGGATATCAATTTGTATGTCTAAAAACTCTATTTGTTTCGTACTGTTGCAGCTAGTTAGATTTATTCCAAAATCATTGGCATTTAAAAATACAATAAAATTCTCCAGTTCTTCTGTTGTGCCCGTCCAAATAAAAAATATATCGTCTATAAATCGGCAATAGGACACCAAATTTGCCCCCCATTGGTTCCCCTGGCGAACAAAGGATTCTTCCTAAAACGCCATAAAAAGGTTTGCGTAACTTGGTGCCCATTGCCGTACCGCAGATTTGAAGATAAAAATGATTATCGAACCAAAAATAGTTATTGGTTAAAATTAATAAAATTCCCTCTAAAATAAAATGTATCTGTTCGTCTTTAAAATGTGATTGTTCTAAAAAATATTTTACTGCCATTATTCCTTTATCATGTGGAATAATGCTGTATAAAGAGGTAACGTCACATGTGACCATTTGGTATCTACCTTCAGACTGTAAGGTTTTTTATTTAATTTTTCTACTTATTTTATGGATTTTTTTGTGCACTTTATTTAATAAAGCACTTTATTGATTTACATCTGAGAGTAAGCTCCTGCCATTGGAATCTCTTACATCATATAAAGAAGGAAGTGGGTCCCTAAAGTACCCACAGTGCTTCAATCATTGAGCTTATCCAGTGGCTCTATGTTTGCGAGTGTACCATTACCTACTTATTATTATTATTATTAACTGCACATTGGCAATATTGCACTATTCTTTTTCCCTATTTGTGCTTATTTTTAGGGAAGGGTTAAAGATCATTATCCGGTTTAACATTACAGTTGGAAGGATCTTTATTTATATACTCCACCTTATATTGTATGTAAATTATAAAGTAAGACAGCCAGGAAGACGAAAGGAGGTACAAATCTACCATGTGAATCTACTTAAGCCATGGAAAGAAAGACAAAATGCTTGTGACTGTAGAAACATTACGCCTCCCTCTAAAGTATCATGACCCAACTGTAAATATTTCAGAAACCGTAACTATCCACCCAGAGAGGGAGGTTAAAGACTTCATTAGACTAAATAAAGATGTTTTCTCTGCAGTTCCAGGGAGGAATGCTGTTATAAAGCATGATGATATCACTGAGCCAGGAAAAAGAGTCCATCTTAAGCCATATAGTATACC